GGACCTTCAGGAGGGTTGTATGCTGGCTCCAGCTGAGGTCAGCCAAAGCTCATGGGACTGGGGAGGGAGAGAATCGGAACCAAAGTTTGGTTAACAAGCATTTCACTGCCATTGAACAATGGGGCCAAGCAGTTCAGCTGATCATTTATGAGAAAAAGAATGGGAATTTAGAAGGTCTGGGTTCGACCTTGTCATGGGTAAACAAGGGGGTCTCCTTGGAAGTTTTATCCAAGTCATATGGAAAGTCACCAATTATATCCAGTAAGTTGTTTCCTTCACAAAGGGTAGAAGGATTTCTTAACCTTTACTATTTTTAGGAGCACAGAACTAAGGTAAAATTCAATACTGTGAATACCCAAGAGTGAAATGTCTAGGGGTATGTTTAATTTTCTTTAAAAACTGCCAAATGGTTTTCAAAAGTGTATGATACTATGTATAATCCCACCAGCAGTGTTTGAGAGTTCCAGTTGCCCCACATCCTTGACAATACTTGATATAATCAGTCTTTTGGGGCCATTCTATTAATAGTTAAGTGTGCAATGGTGTCACATCGTGGTTGTAATTTGCATTTCCTTCATTACCAGTGATGTTGAGCATCTTTCCATGTCCTAATTTCCTATCTGTATAACTTCTTTGGCAAAGTATCTGTTCAAATCTTTTGTCCATTTTAAAAACTGAATTATTTGACTACATCTACTTACCTTAGTTGGCATCTACTGAATTTTGAGAGTTCTATATATACTCTGAATACAAGTCTTTTATCAGAGTTATGCTTTGCAATATTTTCAGAAAATCTTTGGGACCTACGGCTTAGTGAAATGCTTATGCCAGTTTCTCTTCAGCACATTCCCCTGAACTCAGCCACCCCTGCCGGCTCCATTTCCATCTCTGCTGACCTTCTTCAAGCCAGACTACAGTCCAGACCCATGTCTCCAACCACCCACCCCACAGTGCTCCTTGGATCTCCCACAGGCACATTAATGTGGCTCATCCAAAACTGAGCTCATTATCCTCTCCCCATCTGCCACTCCTGCAGAACCCCTATCTCCATGAATGGCACAGCCATCTACCAGGCTAGAGACCTAGGAGTTGGCTTTGTATCTCCTTCCCTCTCACTTCCAACTCCTGTCATTGAGGGCTGCCAGTCCTACCTCCTAAACATCTCTGGACACTCATTTCCCCTACACCAAACCACTACTGCTCTCACCTATACCATTCCTTCCCAGACATCTTTCCTTGGAAGAGTGACCAGAGAAAAACATCTACAAGTCTGGCCATGCACCCCTAGCAAGGACCTTCCAATGGTCTCCTGCGTACTTAGATAAGGTGTAAACTCTTTAGTGGGACAACTAAAGCCCTTGATGATCTGGTCTTTGATTAATTGGGGGGCCTCTTACCTTGAGCCCCTCATGTCTTCAGAGGCCTGGAGAACTTCTCTACTTGAATACCTGCTCTCTGCTGGAGGTTATGCACGTGGGAACCCACATGCAATATGTCACTACCTTACCCTGCACCAACACAGTGCATGTGAAAACAGTGCTGAAGAGGGTGCATGGGAAAAGCTGGGCTTGAAGCTCAAGGAACCCGGCTCCAGTACTCACTGTGTCCATCTTGGGCAAAACATTTCTGACCTCAGTTTGCCCATCAGTAAAACAGATGCAACCATCCCTCCGCTCCTCAATTATGTGTTAGAAGACAAAAATATTTGTCTTTTTCACCAGCACGCTATGACTTAGTCTCCACCACTTTTTGCCTAACAAACCAGAACGGTGGGCCTAGACTGCAGTGAGGACCGAAAAGCGTCCAGGGGCAAAATTTCAGGCAGTACTCACCCTCAGGACCCTGCAAGAGGAAGGTCGCCCGGAGAGTGACTGACCCCCTCAACAACGCCAAGCGGCCAGCAGGAACATCCCAGAGACCGCCTACCGTCCAGGTCTTCCCGGGTTTGGCTTCGGACGAGGCGCCCTTCTATTGGCCGCCGTCCTGTGACGTCACCAGGACGCGCCCGCTCCTGCGGTGTCTGACTTGGAGGAGACGGGCGGGTTCGCTGGCGCAGGGGTACCCTGCGCAGGCCGCTAGGAGCGGTTCCTGAGGGTCCTTGGTGTTAGTGCCCAGGTGCCTTCTGGCCTTGGCCTCCGGCCCTCCTAGCCCTTACCCTGCAGTACTGGGCGCCCGGTAGGACCGGCCGCCACGGCCAGGTAGGTTGGGTCTGGAGCAGGCCACGCGTGGAGGGCAGGGTTGGACCCAGCTTCCCGGCTGCTTCCCTCCACACGGAATGGGAGGGCCCTTGTGAGCGCCCACTGACTGCAGGGGACTGAGCTGGACATGTAGGGAAACTGAGGGACTAGGATAGGTTCCAGACGAGTAGACGGTGGGATGGAATCCCACGTGCAAACTTATGTCTCAGGCTGGGACGCTTTCCACCTCACGCCACTCGGAGGTGGATTGAGCTCGGGCTGTGCGGTCTAATGGTTACTGCAGAGGTACTGGGACCACTTTGTGACTGGTACCTTCACACGTGACTTCACCTTTTTAAGTCCCAGTGACCCCTTCTAAAATGGGGCTTTCCACCCCAGGGGATTGCTGTAAGGATGATGAGTCTGCACATGACTGTCCCAAGGCCACAGTCTTTGGGGCCTGGGGTTATTCTGGTGAGCAGGTGACCAGCCTTAGCCCGAGACAGCCTGTAGAGGGTGCCCACAGTTTCCCCAGGCGTGGCCGATGGCAGTTAAGGCCTCAGGAGGATCTCGTACTAGTTTCCTACTTCTCACAACCTGGGCTAAAGGGCTCCTTGTGGTGCAGGTGCTTGTAGAAGACAGCAGGGCAGAGAACTCAAAGCCTCCAGTTTTCTG